TACCGTTTCTTTTTTGGGGGAGGGGGGGGGGGATAAGCCCCTACTAAAATAGACTACAGAAAAAGAAAAGAAACGGTACTAACTTATTCTAAACTCTCTACTGGAGGAAGGTGATGCACCGTGCAACAGGTGTGGCCCGGCCTTGTTCCTGGGGGCGATCGATGGCACTGGAGGGGAGGACGTCGCCATGAAGCAGGTGGAGCCCAAGAAAAAACGCCTTGTCGGTCGAGCAGCTGGAGGTTGTTCTCCTGGGTGGTTCCAGCTTTGGAAGCGGGGGCGGGGGGGGGGATTCAAGGTTTTGGGGTTCCGGCTTGTTGCGGGCGTGTTCTAGCTCTATGACTTGAGTTGTGCACTTGTAGAGTTTCCATTGCTGTTTTTTTCTTGGAGCGCTTTGAAGCTTAAACACCTTGAGAGGGGAAGTCATCGACAAGCCTCACTTTAGTTGCCGGTTGATTTAAGCGCACGAAACACCCGCAAGCTGGCTCGATAACAAATTGCGTGATGGTAGATACCCCCTTTTGACTCTTTCTCCTTGGTTGTTCACCGCCATCCCCTAAGGCTGTTAGCCTTGTCAGTCTTTAGTGGGGGGGAATTCCAAAAGTCGAAAAAAAGAAAAGAAAAAAAAAGGGAAAAACAAAAAACACTTCCAGCAGGGCAGTTTGGACGCTCGCCGGTCTCCCGTTATTTTCCGACTGGGACGAAAATTTCTTTCTAGAAGTCAGCCCAGTCGAGCCCACGACCCACGACTCGCCTTCGAAGCGTCCCGGACCTCCAGCCGTCTTCTTCAGAAGTCGAAGACGGCCGGCTGCTCCACTTCGAAAAGGGACCGAGAACGTGTTTTCAACGAAAGTCCAGAAGCTTTGGTTCGCGTTTTGCCAAGGGAGGTTAGGACTTTAACGTTTTTTTTTCCAACTAATGGGGTTTCCGTATTAAACCACTGAAAGTTAAAAACTTTTAGCAGGGGAGCAGAAAGCAACCGAGAGAAGCCTCATGCGCTCACTTCTACCCCCCCCCCCCTTCCAATTTTCCGTCTGCAACAATCAATCGCGTGCCAAACCCACGTCCGGAAGCCATAGGTGTCATTTGTTCAGGTTATTTCGAGAAGTAGATGGCGCTGATTTAGGTTTCATGGCCCATTTGCCATTTATGTCACCACAGGGCACCTATGCTAGCCATCAGCTGGCGTCAGAGGGCCTATGCTCAAAACTAAACTGGAGGGGGTCACCAAACCGTAGGTTTTGGTCCATGTCTCCACCTACCGATGGGGCAACCCATTTTGGAATTCCGGTTTTTTGAGCCACAGCCATTTCTTCACTGTTCTTGGCATGTTTCTTTTGTTTTTTAGTTCATTGGTTCTGTTCATTTTTACTGGGGGTCTGCAAAAAACAGTCAGTTCTCGCTACCATACCAAGAGTAGAGATGATCTGTCTTTGTGTTGTTTCCACCCCCGAACGAAACAAGAACCACCATTCCAGTCGAACCGAAAGTTGTTCAAAAGGTCTCCCTGAGCCCTGGGCGATGACTATGGATACGGTATCCAAGGAGAAGGCCTTGAGAAGAGACCTTGGTCCCCCAGCTAGGTGCCAACTTTTACCGTTTTTTTTGGGGGGAGGGTTTTTCTACTACACTAGACTACAGAAAAAGTTGGTATTAACTTATTTTTACCTCTCTGCTGGAGGACCTAGGAGATAGCCGCCCCCCTCCCCACAGCCCCTTTCGAGGATCCATGGAAAGGCAACCGGTTTCGACATTTCTCCGATAGTTGAGCGTGGAGATCATAGGGGTCCTTTTGTGATTGTTTTGGTGAATATATTCTTTTTGGTTGTTTTTGGTTGTTTTGGTTGTTTTGGTTGTTTTGTTTTTTTTGGTTCTGGGTGACCGGGTTGTTTCATCATCGGGGCAATCTGTTCTCCGAAAAGAACACTTTTGGTGGAGATTCGCCGACCAAGCATGGTGCACCCCCCAAAAAAGGGGTTCCCTTGTTCAACTTGAGTTACTGATAACGTGGACCCACTTACTGCCGGCAGGAGGTGTATACCCAAACCGAGGCCAAGAGTCACCGCCAATGCTGCAATCCCAACATGATTCCACTGCAGCTGTGGGCTCCCTTCGCATCTGGCTGTCAAAATTGGGGGGTCCCTGTACTTTTTTTTTCTAACTATGTATATATATATATATAGGGGCACCGTTTCGCAAAAACAATTGGATATCCACTTGCGAACTGGGACCGATCCTCAGCACTCTGGGCGGGAACGGCGGTATAAAGCAACTTCAGGTACCCTCTAACCTGGTCGCACTTGTTTCCTGAAGTTCCCTGGGTTTGTCCTGCTAAGCAAGCAAACTGATGCTTGTCTAGTCCTTGAAGCGGAAACTGGTTGACATGCAAATAACATATATATATATATAATAGATACATGTGTAACATATATATATATATATTGTACATAGATGATTCCTCTAGCACCCTAACCGCAGGCACTGAACCTGGCGCGGCAAGCCATGGTGAAGCTGACCGACGACCTGCACCCCAGCCGGTCGGCCACGTGGAATCGAACCGCGCCCTTGTCGCAGCGGGTTTCGGGTTGCGGGTTTCGCCAGCGGGTTTTGGGCACGGATCGCAACTGAGGAGGATTTGTTGTTGTTTAATTTACAGGACCCTGAGTGGGCTGTTCCCAGATCCCCTGCTAGAAATTTGACTTTTAGTGGTTTAGTCGAAACTACCCATAAACCCTGAACACTTAGAAACCTATGGAGATGGCTGGGAACCACTAAGACTACAGTAACAAATTTAAACAGCTGCAAATATCAAACAATGAATAAATTAAGTGATGAATGAATTGACTAATCAACGTACCAACCTATGCATGAATGATGGTTGAACGGATAAACAAAACAGCACACACACAAACATGCCAAGGAACAAAATAAATAATCAAGTAATCCATAATTAAGAAGCATCACCAAGGGAAAACAAACAACGAAGTGAGTGAAATCAATGAATCAACTACTTGAATCACATGAATGAATGGGATGCATCAACATGGAATGTACTGGGATGGAGTGGCATGACCCCGGAAACCAACATGTGCCAAACACATGGCAACCTCGGGCGGATGTCGTCCGCAGCCTGCAACACAATTAGGAGATGCCCTGCGAGTGTCCTGAAAGAAGCCCTGATTTGTTCATAGGGGCGTGTCTTGTTTTAGCAATCGGGCCCGGCTTCGGGGTTTCCTCGCGGTTCCCTGCAACGCAACCAACAACGGCCTCCCCCCCAAAAGTAACCCCCGACAAGAAGCCAAGAAGCCGACCTCAATAGGGTCTATGCAGGCCGTAGGCCGGGAACAGTGTTGATTTGAACAAGTTGGTTTGTGCTGATCGAAGCTTCGGTCACCACAAAGGTTGCCGTTTTGTTCCAAACTGTTCTATAAAGTCCAGCAGAGGGTGGTGACCTGATTTGTTCAGCAAAGCTCCAGGATCAAGCTGATGCTCCCCTGGAAATTGGTGCCTGGCTGCTGATTGGACACCATTCTTCTGGTGTTTCGTTCTTTTTGTCGCAAATTAAAACAGGTTCGGATCAGAAAAAGACAGTATGTAGTGCTTAGTGATTTTGTATTTATACGGATTTAATTGTACAAATGCACATGCCTGTGAGTGTGCCTACACATTTGGCTTTACGCTGGATGCATGCGCTGCTCCTGTTGATTTGTCAGCTTTGGCTGTAAACTCCGCATCTTGAGCCCAGGATAGCGATTTGGTGTTCGCGATCGAGGCAGTCCTGAAGGGAATGCCCACTGTGAGGCAGCGTTGATCAATTTCAACTGCTTGGCGCACGTGGTTTGCTGGCACTGCTTAAACAACAGTGTTCGAATGTCAGAATGGCGCAACGGTTGGTGCGGCTACCCTACAATGAGTAACACGCCATGTTTGCATTGGGACGCCACCCAGGGCCTGCAGCATGGTGACTAAGTGACTTGTGTTTATGACGGTCGTGCATGCCCAAGGCATGTGGGCCGCTGAAGCAAGTGCCCGCTTTTTTGCGCAGCCCCACCCACGTCTCCGTGGATCAACGCGGGGTCAACGTGGATCCGCCTTGTGCCAAGCACAGGGCGGCGTGTACAAAGCCAGTTGGCCTCGGCCTCGGCCATGGTCGGAGGTGAATCCGTTCCATGGGATCTTGTTTTGATGGAGCCATTCGGAGCTAAAGGGGAGCTCAGCGAGGTCAGCGAAAAATTTGGTGGTCTGGATTGGTTGGATTTGAAGCCCTGTGGGCTAAAGGCCCTGAACCAGCTCGGGTCAAGAGCCAAGGGAAGCCATTCAAACTGATGAGATGCAACCCGAAATGGGGAACTTCAGACTGAAGCCGCCTTAGCCTTGGGGCCAGTAGAACTCACTCCCTGAGTTCATGGACTTTTTACTTTTGGGGCTTGAACCATTGTATTGGTCAACCGAAGAAAACCACATGGACTTTTTGTTGGCCAATCCACTCAGGAGGTGAGTCAAGTTGTATTGAATACTGCTTAAGACCGAGTCCTTCCCTGAACAAACATTCATGAAGGTGCTTTGCCAAGCGTCCACGAAGAGGAAAGCTTGGCTTTTGCAGCATGGCCTCGCTTGTCCAAAACGTCGAAAGTGACCCCCCCCCCTCGAGGGATATATGGTCAAATTTTAAGCTGAAGGAGTTAAACAGTGAACCAAAAACTAGATTGGCGGACAGGGTTTTGCGCGGATCCCGGTGCTGGCTGATTCATCGGGGTCCTGACCTTTTAAGCGTTGATCCCCGTTATGTGTTATTTTTCCTTTCCGTGTATAATTGCGCGCTTTCCCTTGTTGTGTGGCAAGGGGGGAAGTACAGCTAGAGATGCATGAATCAGAAGATAATCGTTTCACCCTGTCGTCTTCCAAGAACCCCGGCTAGAAGGACCTCGCCTTCTGCGGTAGAGTGTTTGGCACGTTTGGCGCGGAAAGGGGTCAACTTTGGTTTTTGGCAGCAAGATTCGCAGGCAGAGGCCAGTTTGGAGCAGGAAGTCATTCGGCTACGAGGCCCGAGCTCTCGGGGAATTAACCGCGTGCGAGGTGAGGATTGTCGGAAGGTTTCTTCTTCACATGGCAGTTTGCTTCCAGCCAAGCTGCTTTTTGAGTCGGCCGTGTGTCTTGGAACGCACCGTTGTGTCGATCCATGCGGAGTCATGGATGTCGTTTTTTCCGCACGTCGACGGCCAGGTTTGGTGGCCTCTTTGCGGGAACGCGGGTTGCCCCAGCGGGGCATGTGTTTTCGTTCGATTGCCCCGAGGTGCTGGCGAGCGGCTGAACTTGCCAGAAGTCAACGTCTCCTTGTCCTAGACCTAATGACACAGTTCTAGGCTATAAATACATATATATATATATACACATATATTTATATGTATGGTGTGTCTTACTTGTTGTTTTGTATAGCACTCTTGTACTTTTTTTTGGTTTCTTAGTCTTTTGTTTCTTGCCCAATTGTTTTTTTCCTTCAATCCATCAGCTCAGCCTGGGATTTGGCGACGCTGCGCTTTGGGTCTCCCTTCAGCTGGCCCCCGTTCGAAGCCCCGACAGCTCGGAGGCTCGGAGCCAGAGACGCGGCCAAAGCTGGACGCCGAGGCGCGGGATTTTTTTGGGTCGACGCCGCCCGCCGGGGGTTCCCACGGAATGTCTGCCATCCCCAAGCTACATCTAGGGGTTTAATGGGGGAGAAACTGGACTCTTATATGTACATATACATATACATATGTATATATTTGATGTATATATTTGATGTATGTATACATCCATTATTTCGCAGTACAAGGGGTACAGTCACTTCAGGTTCCCTTAGTTTAGTCGCTTGGGAAGTGGCAGGTCGCTCCTCTTGCCAGGTTCAGGCAGACGTCGACTCACAAGGCCATCAGAATGACTCTGACGCGCAGGCGTGGTCTGACCCCTTGGGATATGACTGGCATGATTTTGTTTTTTTTCAGTTCTGGCGCGGGCCTAACTCTGGCACAGCTAGGTGCCTCACAAAATTGGTGCCTTTCTCACGGTAGAAAATGAGGAACATCACGGGCTTGGGTTGGTTCTGTCTTGGTTTAGGCTGAATTTGTGGATGAAGCGTGGTGACTTTGAAGGCTTTGCTTCACCAGGTGTGGAGCTCCATGGGCAGTTGCCTTGAGGTTGCTTCCGGGGATTGTGGGTCGTGACTCTAGGGATGGTTTAGGCAGGGGGCTGAATCCGGGTGGGAATTATTTCAAACAAAAAACAATCTTGTGGGCTTGGAGTCAGTTGTTTGCTGTAATGTCACTGTTAGGTTGGTGCTCGGCTGGTTTGGTGGTCGGTCGGTCGGTTGCGTAGGATTGTTTCGGGTTCGAGCGTGTTGACGGCGCTCTTTTCGCTGGGTTTGGTCGTAGGCTAAGCTGGTTTGGTGGCTCCAACCAACCCAACCCAACCCAACCCAACCCAACCCAACCCAACCCAACCAAACAACCAACCAACCCTGCGTGCCAGGGAGGTTGTGCCAGGGCTAGGCAACAAACAACACTTTCCATTAGGAGTCGTTCTTGGCAGAATTGTCCCAAAGGAAAGTCCCTCATAGGAGCTGCTTGGCTGGATTTCAAGTCCAACATGTTTGGTACCTGGGAACTCCCCTAGGCTGTGGTAGAGGAGAACGCTTAAGCCAGAGGTTTCCTGGTAGACGTCGGAGTGGGGATTTTGAGGCTACCCTGGGCTACGAAAGGAACTGGCTGGCTCGTTGTCTTCTCAACGGAGGTTGGCCGGCGCGTTGTGGTTCTTCTGGCGTTTTTGTTTGGGAACCCCAGTTTGCACTCGAGCAGCTTTGGTTTCTACACCAACAGCTTTTGGCTGTCACAATGCTCTAAAAGAAACATGTCCCTGGAAATCCACGACTGTTTTTTAAACGTCCTTTGCACCTCGCCTGTTTTTTGCAGCTAAAGCCTGTTTTTTGCGCCTGCAATGAGCCATGGCGTGGTATTTGATGGATTATTCATACTGTTGCCACGTTTAGATTCTACAAAGCCTGTTCCACCCCAACATGTCTTGACACAACAATTTCGGTGTGAACATAGCGGTCCGTGATGTACGCAAAAGTAGCGTGAAATCACCGTGAAAATACCCCGTGAAATTGGCGTGAAAGCCTGTTTTCCAGCGTGAAAGCACGTTTTCTGCCGTGAATTTTGACACCGGTGAATCTATGTGTTTCAGCCTGTCCTTTGGTAATCCCTCCGCTTGTTTTGCGGGAATGGAGGTCAAGTCGTTGCACACTTTGGTCCTGAGCACGTGCCGCGCCTGAATTGTTCAATGATATCAGCTGAGCTTGGACAAACCTACTCCTGGCAAAAAACCGCCTTTCACACAAAACATGCAAAATAAACCGCGAACACGGCACACGGTAACTGGTGGCACAAATAGGAACCCTGTCGGCCCATGGAGACATTTGGTTCGCGGCCAGGAGCAGCTAGATTCCCTGCATCAAGAAGTTGTGAGCTTAGTTCCGGCGCACTAGGTGCCCTGCTCGCCCCTCATTTCTTGGTGGGATTGTCCAGTTTTGGATCATGAGTCCTGACAACCCAAAAAGGCGCGTGTTATGTTTTCAGATTCCGTGGGGCAAGCGACGCGTTATTTTTGCAAGGGCAGCCCTTGGTGGAGTCCGAAAAGGAGAACCAAAACGAACACAAGTCGCCACTTGGTGGGTCCCCTAGAACTAGACAAAACAAAATCCAAACAAGCCAGATCGCGAACTAGAAAAACAAGCCATTTGGTGGGTTTTCTAGAAATAGATAGAAATAGACAAAGCAAAACCCTATTTCTGCGGGATCCGCAGCGAGTGTCCTCAGGCGTCTCCTTGATTTGAGCATCAGTCGCAAGCGGTGGATTCACTGAGGTGGGGGACAAGAGCCGCGAGCTTCGGCGTTCACAAGAAACGGCCCTGGTCTTGGGAACTTTTTGGCCGGGGGGGATCCCCAGCCCCTTAAAACTTCCCCAGAATTAGCTTCCGTGTCGTTTCTGTTTTTCTGTTTTTTGCATTTTTGGTGTCCTTTTGTGGTCCACTAACCAGGCAACAAGTTTAGTTTGTTTGCTGGGAATCCTAATCCAAGCCAAGGAAAATCTTCCATTTGCTCAAGGCTCATTTGAATTATTTTCCCCTGTTGGATCTAAAGGGAACCGATCACTGCTGGAAACATGGTTGTTTTCGTTCGGGGGCTTAAGCAAATGGAAATGGACTTGGGGGAGGGGTGACCCTGGAGATTTGCATTGATGGTTCCACTTCTTGTGTTTGTGGGAAGACCAAAACATGGCATTGGGGGACCCTTCCAGCCCCTCATCCAGAAGGGGATGCGAGGTGGGAGGGGGCGGGGAGGAACAGAGCCGCTGTTGTCCATCTTTTCGGCTACTGCAGCCAAGAATGTGGCACGGGCTTGGAAACATAGGACACAGGACTACCTTGCTTCTATTTAGGAGCCTGTTGTTTGGTTTGGACCATTTTAGTGGATTTTGTTCCGGTGGCTGTGGTAGATCAGGGTAGGTGCAAAAGTTCCAGGTCATACACCAGGATCTTCAGAGCCACAATCTATTCCCAGGAAACTGAAGCTCAGTTAGCGGGCCGATGTTTGAAGAAAATTCGCTTGCTTCGGGTCCATTTTGCTACCATATTTTTCGATGGCTCAAATGGCCGTAAGGCCATGCTTCATCCTGAGGTGGCATCGCTCTCAGAACTTGGGGAGTTCCCCAAGTTCCTTGTTGCTCATCCCCCAGAAAAAAAAAGAAACCACGCGCCTTTTTTCGTTGGGACACGCACACTGCGAGCGTTTTTGGCACGGCGTTGCGGGAGCATGAAGCCCACTGGCGCTATGAAGGGGTTCCCCGAAATTCAGCAATCCTCCATTTGCTTGTTTTTCTTTTAAACACGAAAAACCCTTGTTGGTTTTAAAGGGAATCTATCACTACTGGAAATTATTGTTTTTTTCCCGGGGGCTTAAGCAAATGGAAGCAAAGGGTGGCTTGCTCGTTGCATGAAAAATCCAACACGCTTCTGCGGTGTGGTGGGCAAGCTTGGGGGTGCCCGCTGTGCCAGAAAATTTCGCCCTGGGTCGTTTTGGCCCATGTTTTCTGAATCTATTAGTTCTTTTGCGGGCCAAGCAACTTGTTACATGCTTGGGGTGTGTCTCATGGCCTTCGACTGGGTAGCTTCAACTCACTCAACATTGCCCAGCCCTCCCCTGGCTTGCTTTTTGTTTTTTTTTGTTCAATTCAACGACTGAAACCAAAGAAGCGCCGCTTGTTTCCAAAATGCAAAGGGGTTGGATTGGGTCGAACGGAATTTCTAGGTGCGATTGCTGCGGTCAGAGCTGAAGCAACAGCAGGAGGTGCCATTTGCTTTAGGTGGCCGGTTGGGTTGGGTGGCGTCGACTTCTTGCCGGGGTTTGGAGGGGTTTTTGCCGGAGCTCCGCACGCGCAAAAGTCCATGCAGGTCCTTAGCGTATTCTTAAACATTGCAGATGGTTCAAGGGCCAGACAGGGAGCAAGAGAGAGATTTGGGAAACAGCTGGTATGAAGCTCGACCCTTTGACCCTGTTCACCCTCCCTGTCTTTCGGATCGCGTCGGTTTTTGGACGGCAAGTCTTGCAGGGGTGCCAAATATGACACCAATACACGTCTAATACTGGGCTGTGTCACGCCATTGATTTTGGACGCTGTTCAGTTCATCGTGTTTTGGGCCCTTTTCGGTCGGGGTCTGGTTGTGCCCGCGGGCCCGATTCACCGAAGAATTTGTGTGTGTTTGCCATTTTCCTGTGAGCCAAGGGGGTTCCCCTGAAGTGACGTCACGAGATGTGAATCCACTTTGTCTCACAAACTCGAAATTTTGAGTAAATGGGGACTTGGAGATGGGAATCACTTGTTAAAGCGAGACCTTTCAGCAATCGTTTGGTTGTGACGAAACAGCCCAAAAGGTGCAGGAATGCCTCTGTCCAGGTTCGCATGGCCATGTGAGCCAGCGATCCGAGCAGAAAGCTGGTCCAACAACGAAAGAGGGAAGCCCTGGCCGACTTGAAATGGACATCAAAAAGGGGAGGTTGGCAAAACAGTTGCTCATTCCTGGGGGTGAATCGCGCTGGTTTTTAGGGTCCTTGCCAGCCAGGTGTCCGAGCAGTTTCGGCTACAAGCGGAAATGCTCGAGGAGATGTTGGAGAGCGGGGCCCTCTCCCCCCCCCCAACCCAGAATCCTCGCATACAGTATCAAGGGGAGGGATGGCTTGTGCAGCTCAACCAGGTCTGCAAAATCAAGTGTGACCCATCCTCTTTTGGCTTCCTCTGAGAGTCAAGTAGCGGCATGGAAGCCGATTTCCTGAGGCCACTCGGAAGCAAGCTGAAATACAGAGTCATGGAGATCAACTCGGATGCGGACCCCGTTTTGGGGGCCCTCCGTTTTGGACACTGAGCAAGCCCACTGAGCAACTGAGGAACAAGTCCGCGTATGACAGAACCGATCGGGTCTCTTGGCGGAGTGAGTATAACAAAACGGCAAACTCGGTGGTAAAAGCTCATCGCAAACTTAGGGTTGCGACCCCAAACAGGCCTTAAGAGGAACATGTTGCCGTTTCTTGGTGCTATTTTTCCCGCGTTTCTTGAGAACCATTCCCCCCCCCCCAAAAAAAAAGAAGAAGAAGAAGAAACAAGTCCTGCCCAAACAAAGCCTGGAAACTCCCAGTCTCAGCTAGGAGCAGCTCCTACTGACGCGCCAGCGCTTTAAGGCGGAGGCCCGCGCCTGCGAGGCCTCCCCGGCCCGGATCGGGCGGATGGCTCGGGGTTTCGCGGGCCAAAACCGGCGGGGTGTGGCCCTCGGTGGTCCAAAACCGACCTCGTGAGCTTTTGGGCTCCCAATTTTATGGCCCATGGTTGGTCAAGGTCCCAAAGGGTGATCAACTGAAAAAAGTCCAGGCCCGAAGGGGCAAGTGAGTCTGGCGTGTCCAAACCGACGTTGTGGGAAACTTGATTTCAGGAGTGGCTGTGATGCCAAGTTGGAGCCCTCTTTGATGTGCTCCAGTAGAGATGTCCTACGCGGGTATTTGTTTGTCACACCCATGCCCCAGTTGCCCAAGACGGCTGCCCAGACAAAGAGTCCAAGATGGCTTTCGGATTCCGCGGTCGTGTCTCTCTCTGGTTTTGACACACGTCCTTGTTTCAGAAAGAGCTGCCTACAAACATGTGGCTGTGGGTCAAATCCAATGGTACCATTTTGGGGTAGGTGCACCACCCATTTTAGTCTATTTTGGTGGGGATTGGGATGTTCACTGGGGTACGTAGCCATGTCTTTGCCTCCAGCTGTTCTCGCTTTCCGCTCCCAAAACGCTACCCCGAGAGGGGCAAGTTGGTTCGATTAATTATTCATCCTTCCACTAACATAGCACCAGTGGGAGGGTACCTGGAGGATCATTCTCCTCTTGTAAGGACCCCCGGTCAGGTGCCATGTTTGTGGGAGGAAGGGTAAGCTTAATGCAGATGAGGCCCCGGTTCAGACGGACGAGGCCGTGTCTCTTACTTTGAGCCGAGTTGAAAATGGACACCCCCAAATGGGTGCGTTTCCGCTCACTTCCATTTTTGCCGAAGGAGAATGTTTATTTGCTCTGGTGGCTTTGAAATGAATCTATCATAATCAATCACTACTGGACATGTTTTATTTGTTCCTCGGGGACTTAAGCAAATGCAAGTCTGCCCCTCCCCTCGCACCAGCAGACATGAGTTCCTTCGGCTTCTCTGGCCGAGACCTGAAGCAAATGGAGGCGACCTGCTAATCCAAGATCCTACCAAAAAAGCGGGTTCGGACACATAACCGGGTTTGCAGAAGGAGAAACCTCTTTTTTTTCCCGCCCATCCCACTTCTACCTTGTAGGTTGATTCATCCAGTAATTACCAGGTAAGGGTACCCCCGCTGGTCCGGCAAAGAAACCCCAGGGGAGCCGTGCGCTCGTTTGAGTCAGCGGCTCGTCACCCAGGAGCGGTGGGCATCCAGGTCTTGGACCTCAGATGCGACCTGAGGTTCAGGGTCCCTGAACGGATTTTTTCTTTTTTTTGGTGTGTGTGTGTATTGTGTTGTTTGGGTGTTTGTTCTTGTCTGTCTGTCTGTCTGTCTGTTTGTTTGTTTGTCTGTTTGTCTGTTTGTTTGTTTGTTTTGTCCCTTGCCTTGTTGGGCTGGCCGGGTCAAGAGAAACCCAAGGGAGAACCACCACCCCCCCCATTTTGTTTGACATATTTTTTGGGCCGTTGTGTAAATCACATACTAGTACCAGCTCATTTAGAGGATCCAAATCCTTTTCACGAAGCTGGTTTTTGGAGGTATTGAATCCCGTTGCTGCACTGTTCTCGGCATGTTTTGCCCCACCCCGCAGGTTTGGGGTTGCTTGAACTTGAGGCTTTTACTGTTCCTTGTGCGTGTTTGAGTCCTTTGCTGTTTGGTTTCTTTCAGTTTCTCCTCAGCCATCCATAAATTTCCTGTGCCAACCTGTCGGCGCTTGGGTTTCCAGTACCCATTGCCCACCTAGCTTACCGTAACTTGCCGCTTCTTGTGGGCTTTTTGTACTGACAAAACCCTGCACCAGTTGGATGGATAAACCCTATGATGGGGCAAGCCACGAACCAAATGGGCAGCATTTGGTTTATCCACAGCTCAACTCCCCAATCCAGTGATTCTATTTACCCATATAGTGGGCAACCAAAAAAGCCAGCCTTCAAAACCAAAAGGAACATTGGTGGGTTACCCACCATCGTGGCTTGCCTGGATCCACCGGGCAAAATTAGCATCGGGTTGCATCCACCGCAAGTCCGCCCCGCCCGCGCGAGGTCCACAAGTCTCAGTCGGTCGCGTCCTTCTTCGGCCCAGATCTCGCGGAAGGACGGAACCGACGAAACCACGACTTGGCCCTGGCAAGCCAATGGGTGTGTCGCTTTTGGAGTTGGAACCCTCAAAATGAGCCTAAGGTTCTCCTTTGCTTTCCCCTGGAACCATCCAACATGGGTACCCTCAACAAAAAGACACCCCAAATTGGGGGTTTTGACTTGGCCGGTGTTTGGTGTGACTGTTTGCAAGCTGGAAATGGTTCAATTTTTCCCTCAGCTGCCGTTTCGCATCGCAGCCGGTTGCGAAGCGGAGGTGTCCCATCCGAATCGCCATCCGTTTCTGAATGGCTGTTGGGTTGGATCTTTAAGCTTTAGCAAGGGAGGGGTTTTCCGAATTGAACCCACAAAAAGTGATCCACTTTTTGCAGAGGGGTCAACGGCAACCAAGGCTTTGGCATGGCTTGTCCGGTGAGACCGTCAGAGAAGAGCCAGATCAGCCCACGGCTTTGGTTGCGAATGGGGTAAGCAAACCCCGCCTAGAGGTACCCCTATTTGTAACCAAACAGAGGTCGCGAATGTTCCACTTCCCCGTTGGTTTGTGGAAGGTGCATTTTTTGAGGTTGGTTCAAAGGGCCCCCCAAAGGATAGTCAATTGTGTTGGTGGATGCAAACCCGAACATGTTGCCAGTGGACAAGCGAAGCAACATCCCACCAAGCAATCCTCCATGACGGTAAATTACAGAGCCCTGATTCCTGCACTTGCACCATTTACGATATCCACTGTAGCGCAGGGTCTTGCCCTCCCGAAGCAAAGATGGACATTGAAGGCGGTCGTTGAGGCTACTTTGGTGCATTTTGCTTGGATGTTAGGGCTTTAACGTTTTTTTCAAGTGGGTTTTCCATTAAACCACTAAAAGTTAAACTTTTTGCAGGGGAGCAGAAAGCAACCGAGGATACTTGTTTGTTTCGGGGAGGCTACGCTGCGGGAAGGTCAGTTCGGGCGCCGGGCGGTCGAATTTTTCAGAGCGCGCTCTAGGAGTTCCCGCAGGCAGGGAGAAGCGAGTGCTCCGACGAGGAGGAGCCCGAAGCCTGAAAATACACCCGGATGAGAAACCAAGCCGTTTTGGCCCCCAAAAGAGATCCAGATTGCTTGTCAAAGATTCACCTCCATATTGCTGAAATGAATATTGTGTATTTTCCCCTGTTGGTTTTGAATGGAGTCTATCGCTACTGGAAATATTGTTGCTTTTATCAGGAGGCTTAAGCGAATGGAAGCGGGTCGGCCCCAGGACTGCAACTTGTTCCAATACTTTCTTCCGGAGTTCTTGGACTTTTTCTCAGCTTTTTGCGAAGTCCATTTGGTCGTGGCTCAAAAAAGTTGAATCCCAAAACTGCACCTTGGCAAATGGAACCCAAGACTCAAAACCCGCGTAACCCCAGCTCTTTCATTTCGAGCCATACCCATTTTTTTAATGGTAAACAGAAAGTTCGGGCTTGTTTTGGGTTTATTTACTCAGGTGAGGATAGATGGGAGAGCTATTTTTTTTCACCAGCGAGTCCTTTTTGATTTGAATCAGCCGGTTTGTGACTCCTAGGCCCAAAGAAACCGAAGCGCTGGCCCAAGGGTCCTAGAAGGGGCCTTCTGAGAGGGGCCTTCTGCCAGAAAAAGATGGGGGCCGGGTAAAGCCGGCGGTGAAGTTGATGGACACATGCACCCAGTGATTTGCAGAGCTCACTCCCTGAGTTCAGCTTTTCACCTTTCAGGTTTGGAGCATTTGGTACATATCGAGTCTTTGGTTCGCCTTTTGGCAAGGGCTGTTGGAACTTTAACTTGTTGCCAACTAATGGGGTGTTCCACTAAACCACTAAAAGTTAGACTTTTAGCAGGGGGCAGAAAGCAACACTCAGCCAATTTGAAGGTTTGGCGGAGAGCTTGCAATGATATAGTCAGGAACAACATGGAGATCACCCTTTGCTCATTAACTGGGTCCAGTAGTGCCCTTTTACCCCGTTTTTTGGGGAGGGTTCCCCTACTAAAATAGACTACAGAAAAAAAGGTGCTCTTATTCTAACCTCTCTACTGGAGGACCTACTTAAAGACAAGCTCCTGATTTAGATGGCCAGCTGTGTTGCTGGGGAGAGGGGGGTGGTTCTCAGAATGACTTTCCGATTAAGTCACCCCCCCTTCCACTTCCCCTTTCCAGGTAGGGTTGCCTGTCACTTAAAGTGCACCAGCATTGCCTAGCCAGCCGCACAGGAGCCGTGTGGGAGGTGCCTGCCTAAGCCATTTCTCTTTGTGCGCTTGTCAAGTTGGAACTTCACTGTTCTTGGCATATTTTTCATGTATGTATATATATATATATAGTTGTTTGGTTCTGTTCATGTGCACTGGGCGGCTGCAAAAGCACATTTTGGTCGCCGTACCGAAAAAGTTGTAGAGGGAATGTACACCCCGCTTATTCCTGCCAGTTCCCGGAGCAAAAGCTTTGTGAGTACCCATGCCTTCCTGAGTTGTGCGATGTTTTTTCTTGGTGGCTCCCAGGCATCCGGTTCCTGAGGCTGCTTTTTGTTTTTTTTAGTGCTTGGATTTCCATCTAAAATCCGCTAAAAGTCAGTCGCTTTTGGCGGAGCTGGAAACGGACAGCCCAGCTTAGTCAAGTTCACTTGTTTCTCTGGGTTGAAATTGCGAATCAGAGGAGGCTGCGCAAGAGACAAGCACGGCTTTCTCGTCGCAAAGCAACGCAAGTTTCGCTCGGGGTGTCATCCCAGAACTACGTGCTCGAATCGAAGTAAAGCTTTTTGTGTTTTTTTTTGGGGACGCTGTTTGTTACGGGTGCTGGTGGTGAATTGGGCAGACCAGAACAGCTGTGACCAGGCAGCTTCATGAGCGCAGGAAACAGCATCATCTACTGAACCTTTGAGCAGGCAAGTGTTTCCTGGTATTGTTCGAACTATGTTTCTTGGTAGGGGGGGCATTGTTTAAAGGGTTGAAAAGGGCAGTTTGAGGGTCCTGGCTGTTTTTTTGTGAGCCGATCGGGGCACTTGCAGCTGGAACGTGGCAACCGAGGCCGCCCAGAAGAAGAGCTTTTTGCGGCGAATGACTCCATCCAGCAGTTTGGTGCAGGCCCAAGTGCGGGCCTCCAGAAAAACGATTCCCGTTTTTTTTTTTTTGAGGACTTCCCTTTGACATCCAGTACCACACATGTGGATGTCCGTTTTTCACGGGAAATCCGCCGGAGGTCTGGGCAAAAGATCCGACGAATGACCTAAAGCTGATCCAAACACAATCCATGGCGTGGTGCATGTCCAGCCTTGGAAACCTAGCCCCGCACACCAAACCTGTTCGTTCACTGCGATTAAACGTCTGGCCACACCGGCTTGGCCGCCAAGAGGTTGGTTATAAACGGGGCTGGAACCCTGCTAAATGTAAGTTGTCTGGCTTTGCAGCTGGTCGCCACAGATCGTTCCTTCGCATTCAGTCGCCATGGCATGAGGTTTGATTGTAGCACTAGGGTGCAGGCAAACCGCTTTGCTTTGCCTCTTGACTGAGGATATAACCGGATATAATGCCTTCCTGGACACAAGGCATCATTAATTGCAAAGACTCGGAAGGTTTCCAAAATAGTATATGCAAGAAAATCTTGGACAGAAGGCATTTTTGTTTTGCAACTCGGAAGGGTTCCGAACGCCCCGCGTTGAAGGTGGAGTGTGGGCCCTGGTCAAGGGCTCTGAGTCAGCCTTCAGAGAGGCGCTCTGATTGCAACGAGTTGGCCCAGTGGGTTCCCGAGGGCTGATTTCCCCAAAAACTGAAACCCAGCGATGGTGAACAGGGTTGTGGGATCAAGTTGTTTTCTCCCCACGTCGGTGATACAAGGGAACACCCCTTTCTATGAACAATCTAGTCCTTGGCAAGCTCTTTCTGTTGTATCATAGTGGTCATTCCCCATGGCCCTGATTGTGAAATTTCTTCAGAAGCCCGGGGGGTTGCAGCCTTGGAACCTAATGGAACCCTGCCCGGACCAGGCGTAATGCCTGAGTGGAACCCCGTCAATTCTGGGCAACGCACCCATGTGTCGCCCTGGAAGATTGGCGGCATGTCAAAACTAGGGGACCTCCCAAATGGGTTGGTTTCCCACTGGGTTTGTGTCACCCCCCCCCCCGAATCGGGTCCCTAGTTTTGACACATCCCCGAATGGGGTGTCGACCAACCTTTGCGGCAACAAGATATGTTGTTTGCGGAGAGGCAACTTTGCCTCATTCACCTGACCAGGAGTCCCATGTTCCCTCCGCGAGTGGTGGAATCGGAACATACTGACCAGTTTGGGCAAAGGTGGATTGAGTTTGAAGGAACCCTGACGTCAGCCTTTCAGTGATTCAGAAGTCACACATGTCGGCTGAATATCAGTCCGACGTGGCAGATTCCCAGCGCGTGTGGCAAAAGGCCGAGAGATTGGACGAAGTGAATGGCGACCTCTGTTGTAAACCATCCCCTCACCCGCTTAGAGAAACTAACGAGTAGGGAAAGGAAGGGATATAGGATGCAGCTCACACGCTGGAATTGCTCTTTTCGCCCGTAGATTTCAGGTGACATCAGGTAACCCCCAATTGGTGGTTGGGAGTGGCGGCTTGGTAATGGACTGGCACCCTGACCACAAATCCAAGTTGCCAATTTGGGGCGCCAAGTAAAAGGAAGGTGAAATTTGTTCCAAGATGAATAACTGGACGTTCAATCGGGAGTTAACTTTTAATCCAGAAGCGCAATCAGGGTGATCCAGGTTGGCCTTGTTCAGTGGCTGTTTGGTCTCCACACCAGTAGAATGGTCAACCCCAAAGAGGGCCCCTGTTTTTCTACAGGGCCACTGAAGTGGGCTTGTTGATCTGCGGACTTGCATGGGAAATGCAGAGACCCATGTCCAAGCGCTTGAGAAGCCCCGCATCCGCAGCCGGCTGGAGTGGCACAGCTCGCACAGAGGACCGGCGTCCTGCAGGCGCCAGCACATGTTCCAGCACACCCCAACAACTCACCTTCCCTTTAATTGGTGGTTTGGAGCCGACTCGGTGGTTTGGTGGTGAAGGAGAGGTTTCAAATCCATCTGCCCTCTACCAGAACCGGCTCAGTTCAAATCCAAGCCACCGGGCTCCAAAGATACCAATTAAGGGTAGCCTTGGCAACTGCCTTTTCCCACACCCAAAGATACCCCCGGCCTTGAACCACATCCCGAAGCCGAAGTTGAAGGCTAGATGTCCGCCCAGTCATTCCAACAACCGTGGGCCTTGGGCTGGACCGACGATTTTAACACCACAGGTTGGTATATTCCATTCACAAAGCAAAACAAGCACTCCCCTCGGAGTCGGGGGTATCGAAGAACAGACCACGAGCAAAGAACGACAAACAGTCCCCCATGGCCCTCCACTTGTTCGTCACCTTTCGTTGGGTCTGGAGCCGCAAAGCGTCCAAACCCAGGGGTTTTCTTGCGAGAGCTCTCTTTCGCCACGCGTGGGAGTGATGGATGCGGAGAGCAAGCCACGCTTTGCGCCCTTGACAAGTCGGCTTGTTACCCCTAGCTGGTCTTTGGTGTGACCTCATCAAATGGGTGTGTCTTTCTGTTTGTTGAGTGTACCCTTTTTTGGGTGGTTGTAAATAGAATCCATATAAAGACAACCACGTTTCTTTATCATTTTTTTGGGGGGTCCCCTAAAAGGGGACACGGACGAATGGCTTGTGATTAGACCAAAAGGTCAAAAACGTCGAACGGGACATGCAGCCGCTACTGCGACGCGTTTGGATCGCTTCCTGTGGGCGATTGATTCCTCGTTTCTCGCGGACTTTTTCGGAGTTTCGGATGGCCTTCAAAGAATCAACAGCTTAAATAAGAGCATAGGAGGGGTCCATCTTTCCATAGCCGGGAGCGTGGCCTTACATTTCAGATAGACTTAGGCCTTAAAGGAACACGAGATTCCTGGAACTGTCGCACACTTGTGTCTCCACATATGGAACCTATGAACCCTCAAGATTGGCAGTTCCGCCGTGGGTGTCCCTGTAAATCACCCCGAAAAGGGGAACTCGGCAGAATAGCTCCAAAAAGAAGCATATCTTGTTCATACAAATCTTCTTTTGGGGGAAGGACCCCCTTTCGGCGCTTTCAGGCTCTATATGTCAGCTTGCAAGGGGTAGCTTGCGATGTTCTGCGGCCCCTTACAGCAAGTTCGAGCAGTCATAGGGATCAACCGTGGCATCACGAAAAGCGACCGATTTTCAACGTGATCCGATGGACTTCTCCTTGGAAGAATTTGTGTTTTGGCCCTGGGGCCAGGGGGGGTTCTGGGATGGGGCCGCATGTTAATCTTGTGGAGGCGGGGCAGGGGAAGGGGGGGGTCTGAGAGAGCTCCCTGTTTACCCAAGGGGACCTTTGTCCCCCACCTCCCCAAGATTAACATACCGCCCAACACCACCGCCCAACCCCCCCGGTTAGAGGAATCTGTTTGGGGCCCTTCCCCCTGTTAGACGTACGTGGCTTACCCCGTCGTCAGACGCCTCGAGGTACATACTTTGCTCGGGAGTGCCCTGCTGAAAGCTCAGCAGAAACGAACGCGACATCCCGCAACCTGTGTGTCAACTCAAATTGGGTATGTCATGCCATTTTGGGATCACATGCTTAGTAAAGGCAACCCAAAAGGTGATCACCTTTTGCTTCCAGGTCCTTTGGGCAAGTGGTTGCATGGTGTTCCCCTTTTTTTTGGCAGTCCCGGAGGCCCCCAGCATCGGTGGTTGATGCTATTCATGTCTTGAACGGTTCCATTGAACAGATTCGCTCAAAAAACCAAGGGAAGCCACAACTTGCAGAAAGGACTCTTTGAGAGTCTCGGGCCGAGTGGTGCGCTGGATGGATGGCATATAACCTAAATGTTTTTGTTTTGGAGCCGATTCCTGAGGGGGGTTGGTCCAAGCGAAGGTTCCCCAAGGTTCCCGCAAGAACCATGAGGAAGCTTAGGGAATCCTTTGGAGCCTTAGGGCTCTCAACAACGCCCCCTAGAACTTCCTTGAGCCTACCCCCTCCAACTGAGGAGCGGTTTGGTTTCACGGATTCCTTGCCATCCCATGGACACCATGAAGGCAAGGTCGAGCGCTTGAGATTGAGATCGGATTCCGAGTGAAGGCGTGGAAGCCATTAAGAAAGCAACAATGGTTGAGAACGGCTGAATGTGTTTCACTCACTGAGCTCCGTTTCAGACTTTAGTCACTTGTGCAAAGCCGGTTTGTAAAGGTAGCTGTTGGAGGGTGCTGAACAAAGTTCTATTCATACTCACTTACCCGAATCCTACCTTTTGTCCTTTTGGTTTCCCTGATTTGGCAACCATTTGGCCATGGGTCATAGCCTATGCCTCCATTTTGGGGCGGATGAACAACCATGTGCTACCTATTTTGATGCTCACCAGGGGTTTCCTGGGTTTAGACTCCCACAACCATTTTTGGCGACCCCAACAGGCGATGGCCTTTTGCTTCTGGGTCCAAACTGGGGGCCCGAGCGCCGCGCCAGTCCAGATTCCAGAGCGCTTCTGGCAGCCAATACCGAAATCTGAGGGACTGCCGCGACCTGAAACGTGCAGCTTCGGCATGGGGATGTTGGGATGAAACAACATGAGGCATTCCGTTTTTTTTTTTTTTTGGGGGGGGGGGGTTCTGGTTGTCAATGTGGATACTTGCTTATCTCTGGTTGTCCGGGATGTTTCCTTGGCTTTCCTTGGGTTGTTCTTACTTATTATGTCAAGGTGTGTGAGTGTGTGTTGTCTCTTTTAGTTTACTCTTCTCGCTTTCTCGGCCAAACCAGCAAACAACTGACAAGGCTTTTTCACCCTTCCGAAAGTGCACCCAGGCCCGGGTTCCATGTGCGATGTTTGTTTTTGGCATCCAGGGCATCCACTTGTCAGGCTGCTAGGCTTACTTGGCAACTTGACAGCAGCCGTGTGCTCAGGGAAAGCTCCGGTTGTTGTTTCTTTCTGCTTCTCTGAACCCCTCAGCTGCTGGTTTGGATTGGTGGAGGCGGGTGGAGGGCTGGTTTCCCATTCAGCCTCTACAAGATCCAGGGCTTCAAATCCCAAACCACCAGGTAAGGGTTCACTACCCCGGCACCAGATGAACACCCTCCCACTTAAGGCCCGCGCTAGGAGAGGAAGCTCCTTTTGGGGGCGTGGGGTGTCATCGCCAAACACACGGTGCCCCTGCAGCCGAGCTTTTGCTTGTGAAGAGCCCATGTTTCCTTCTGCCACATTTTTTCGGGTTTCTTTGAAGCCTTGAAGGGAGACCAACAGAACACCGGACATTTTGGGGGTCCCCCGATTTTGAATGGTTTCGCGTGCAGTGTTGCACTCAAAAAAGACTGATTCGGATTAGCGATCCCCCTTGAAGAAGTCGGCAGAAGCGATCTCCATGAAAAGCTCAGGGAGTTACCCGACCAAACAAGAGCAATGGATTAGTCTAGAGGTACCTTCCAACCATTCTTTCCAGGGATCCTTCTTTTCAGGAAACCATCAAAAACCCAAGGGAAACAGCCGGTTTTTGAAGAGAACGATGGTTGAAAAGAATGGTTGGAATCAACCCCTGGAATTAGGACCAGCGATCCCTCAAAGTTTGGTTCTCGGCTGACACCTGAGGCTTTTACAGGACCTGGGCGCAGGAAGGCGGGTTGCATCGCGGCAAGCCGGGCGAACTGGGAAGGCGATGTTTGTGGGCTCCCCATAAGCATCAGAAGTTGTGGTTGTGGGTGGGAGGGTAGGGAATTCGACGATTTATTTCATGGGCTTTGTCGAAGTTGCCTTCAAGGGCATGCTCAAAAGAAGACCCCTAGATCCTTTCCTGCAAAGCTAAGAGGATCGCTGGCACATGTTGTGCCTTCGAGAGCACGGTTGAATCCATGATTTGTCGGTATTTACTAGGGGAATCATGATTTCAGGGTTTCTTAGGTGGTGCAGCACTTTGTCCATCCATAAGCTGTAATCAGCCCACAGAGCCCACATCTCATTCGCGTGCACGAATCAGCATCCATTCGAGAGAATGTGTGGTTTCAATCGGGGTTCCGATAAACCGAGGTCCCTCAACTTAAACCAATGTCCCCAAATTTTTGTTTTCGGATCCCGTTTCATGGCGGAGTTCCAGCCAGAGGCACCAAACGAAGCAACAGCAGCACGCAGACCATGCAGAAAGTCAAGCTGAAAACAGGCTGCCTGCTGGTGTTTTTGCTTTCTGGAGACCCCAACCGCTCGAGTCGTTCGAGAAAGAAAAGAATGCTACCCCAGGC